CGTTGTTTTGTCGCTGCGACAAAGGGGGGGGGGGGGGGGGGGGAGGCAATCCTTGAATTCTGCTTTAAAACAAGCCAACATTGACCTCTGTAGCTCTCTAGCTGCAGGCATTATGGAGCACTCTATCCTCAAAGTTCATAGAAGAAGCAAGTTGTTCTCTCAGGCAGTTTAGCTTACTCTCTTTCCCCCTTAGTGGTTAGAAGGATGAAATGATTCTGAGTTACTGTTATGAAGTGGGAGCAGGATGAGCAGAGCTGCAGAGAGATCTTGGATGACCTCTGTGCTTTGTGCTTCGTCTGTGTATTTTGTCCATGAAGTCTGCAGCTACAGAGGTCACTAAGGACTTGTTTTGAAACAAATATTGCAGCTTGTTGAGAATATGTAAATGCTTACATGTCCTCATCCTGGCTACAGGCTCACTTTAATCATCAGGGGAACCTGTCATGATAGAAATTTGGGAGCTGCCAAGGTAAAATCCTCAGGGCTTTTAACCAACTTGCTTAACTACCTAGTGAAAGATTTGGAAGAAACACACAGCCATTAAAGTCTGAACTTCTGGCTACATGCTTATTTCAGGTTGGGCTTTAGATGCATTTTAATTGCATTCTTCATTACATTTCCTCATTTCACTACATTTTCATTTCAGCCCTCTGCAGAAATGTGGGTGATGGATGTCTTATTTATGTTCCTATCTGTAGTGTGGATTCAGAATTGAGAAACCTCTCTGATTCTGTGATTAGTATATGAAATAGTATAACACAGGGCTCAAAATTTCCACTCGCCCGCTTGCATTTGGTGAGTGGAAATTCAGTCAGGCACGCGGACACGGATCGCGTACCTGACTTATGAGAGCAGCCGCTCCTTGCTGTCCTGGCTCCGTTTCTTTTTGGTTATTTTATATGTGGGGGCAGAGAACAGGGGAGAGGGTATTATTTTATATGTGGGGGGCAGCAATGTTTACATTGCTTTATGTTAATATTGTTGTTGTTAATATTATTATTTTTTCTAATTAACTTTATTCTGCCTTCAATATTTAAAAGTGTAATTTCATAAGATAGTTTAAGAGAGTGGGTTTAGGGGCGGAGTTAAGGCCGAGGCAGTCTAGTGGTTAGGTGGGGCAACTGGTGGCGAGTAACTCTTAAGGCCTGGCTAGTAGCTCAGGGCTTGAAATTTTGAGCCCTGGTATAACATGTATAAAGGTTAAACTGAAATGCTTGATTATTCACTAAACAAGCTCTATTACCAGCAGTGCCATAGAAGTATGCAGTGTTCTAAATGGGCTGTTGCAGGGATTGCACAAATTACTACCTTTTTCTTCTTCAGGGTGTTAATGCTGACTAAATGCCAAAAATTTTAGTAGATAAAGTACTGCCAACTGATTGTGTGTATTTTTTGCCAGGTCCTGTTCTCTTGCGTTGCTACTGTCTGTATGTTCCCCTGTTGGCCATTAATGGCATTACTGAATGTTTTACCTTTGCTACAATGAGTAAGGAGGAAGTAGACAGGTGAGTAATGTATAGATCAGTATCTGACTGGCCAGAGAAGAAATATGTATAATTGGATTGATGGCTTGGCTGAAGCATTGTCTCATGAATAAGCAAAGTTTAATGACCCTTCTGTCTGCATAGCCTATGGTCTGCTTACAAATTATGTACACCCACATAGGGAAAGGTTAAAACAAATAAAGAGGGCCTATTTCCTTTGCAGGTACACAGACAGCATTAAAACCATGACAGGTTTTAGCACTTCTTCCTTGCAGCACTTGGGGTCCCCGATTCAAATCCCGGTCAGAACACTATCTGCAAGAATCTTCTTGTGTGTGTTTCCACCGGGTACTCTGGTTTCCTCCCACACTCCAGAAATGCTGGAAGGTTAATTGTAAATGTTAAGTGCTGCGTAAATTGTCAGCGCTATATAAAAATACCAATAATAAATAAATAATTGGCTCATGTCTAGATTGGCCCTGTATGCTTGCATGTAAGATAGGGACCTTAGATTGTAAGTTCGAGGGCAGGGACTGATGTGAATGTGCAGTGTACAGTGCTGTGTAAATTGTCAGCACTAAAAAAATACCAATAATAAATAATTCATCCCTACTCTACTAAAATGTAAAAAAAACACCAGAAATTGGCACATACATACACTTAGGAGCCTATATTGTATTTCAGTAAGTGCATATTTTAAATTATTGTTGCAGTGTTTTTATGTAAGGCAGGAGCTTTTAGCCACAATGTATGTACTGCCTATTAGCACATTATGGCAGTCTTACCTGCCAAACAATCCCCTACAGCGCTACAGTGTCCACCTTGCCCCGTCTTTTTCTGAGTTCTGAGTCTTCAGCCGCATGATTGGCCGGGCCCCGATAACATCACTCCCATGCATGCATGCATGGGGATCTCTGAGAGAGATGGAAACCAGAGCAATGCTACATTACATATGCAACTATACTTTTTTTTTTAACTTGGAGTTCCACTTTAAAAGTGGAGAACTGTAGATAAGCTACTAGAGGCAGTGTTGTTTACCTATTATGAAGACCCTGCCTGACAATTGGGGTATGATAACAGCTACAGAGAGTGTAATGTTTTTAGTCAGTCAGCTGAATCATAGATTTGCATTGTTATAGCTGTAAAGCACAACCCTTGTGTAGTACTGCAAATAATATGACAAATTATATGCAAAATACAATATTGTAAGCACATTAACACATATTGATCAAATTTATTTACAGCTGATCTCATTTACATGTTTGTAAAAAGTAAGATTGATGGGGTCATCCCATCATTGTGGTGTAAATCTCTTTCTCTTTCCTTCTCTACTTCACTTGAATGAAGGATATACATAAGCTTAAATAGAGACTGCAGGTGATTCAGTAAACTGTGTTGTGCTGATAGAATCAGAAAGACATCTTTCTGATTCTATCAGCACAACACAGCACAGTGTGTTGCGCTGTTGATTATTACAAAAGTACACATAAATTTAACTATGAGTAATTGATCATGTTACATTTTCCTTTCTTAAATGTACATCACATTACACAGGAAGTTAAGGTGTATCTAATCCCAAAAACAACAATTTAGAATATTGCAGCTTACCGGTCTTAAATGTGGTGGCTGTATTAGTTTTCTTAAATGTGGTGGCTGTATTAGTTTTCTTTTTTTTAGGCTTTTTTTCACTTGGTGACCCAGCCAGTAACACATCCTGGCTTACATTGGCTCCACTCTATGGAGAAGCAACTGAGCCACCCTTGGACAGCATCGTACATTTTTAAAGACATCTCAATGACCGTAATCAGTGGCGTAACAATCGCCATAGCGACCCAGGCGGCCACTATGGGGCCTGAGGCACAGGGGCCCAGCCAGGACATCTCCCTGATGGGTCGCTATGGCATCTCAGGCTGCTGGCTGTCACTGGCGGGTGTGAGAAGGAACGTGTCGCTGTTAGATCACCGACAACCTGTGCAGTCATCTGTGCTGAGTGATCTGTGCTGAGTCAGTGACAGCCAGCAGCTGTGGAGGAGGAAGGCTGGGCCCGGTCTTCTATCAAAAATTGTGACTGCGTTAGAATGTGTGACCGGTCACACATTTTATTTTATTTTTAATTCTTTAGTTTTTTATTTTGAGCCAACATTTTACAGTATACATACAACACATAAACAGTTGAGCCATTAGAACGGACAGGTACAAACTGTAAAAGTATATCAACATCTTTCAGCCCCAGTCGCTGAAGTCAGGCCCGTCTTTAATATTGATCGGACCCTGGGCAAACATTTTCTTGGGCCCCCTCGGGGCCCCCCACCAGGAAAAAAAAAATGACAACATGATTGTATATCTCCCTGAAAATCTCACTCCATTTCTGTTCTGTCCTTCAATATATGTGAATAACATGATTGATAGAATTACAATGCATGATAGTAGAAAGCTATGATTAGACATAATTAACCTGAACAACCCCACATCCATTACAGTGCCCCTAAGCGCAAAACGTTGAGAGAAAACTAGGCTCCTCCTCTGTTAAACCTTCAAAAACGCTGTATCATGTCAAATTACAAACAATCATGTCTCTGTTAAGTCTGATTATCTAATCATGTTAATTATGTCTAATCATGGCTTTGTACTATCATGCATTGTAATTCTATCAATCATGTTATTCACATATATATGAAGGACAGAACAGAAATGGAGTGAGCTTTTCAGGGAGATATACAAATTGTATATCTCCTTTTATATTTCTCCTTTTTTATTTCAATAGTACATTATAGCTGGCGGTATTCTGCGTTGCGCTGTATAATGTACTATTGCTGGGATTTGTAGTCCAGTACAACAGCAGTACAACAAATCCCAGCAATTGTACATTATACATACAGTGTATAATGTATTGCTGGGATTTGTATTCCTATGTATAATATACAGCACAATGTACCATCAGCTATAGAGGAATAAAAATCCCAGCAATACATTATAGAGCACCATGTGGGGGAGGGAAGTGCAGGCTTACCTGAGCAGTCTTCCAGCAACTTGCTTCTGAGATCGGGCCTGTCTGCCGGCGGCTGTCATCCCCTCACACTTACTTCTTCTTCTCTCCGCGTCCCTGTGCCGATTGTGGATTCCTGGCTGAAGTAACCAAATAGTTAACATTAACAGTACAACATCATATGTGGCGTCTGGGCGTTTTGGGGTGGTTGCAATGCAGATCGTACAGGTCCTAAGGTGCATTAGTCAATAAGTTTGATAGGCAGGGGTGGGGAAGCCCAGGGGTCCACCAGTCTACTTCGGTAGACTGAGGAGTGAGGTAGGGCAAATAACCACTTGGGGTCAAAATAGGGAGGAGGGAACGGGTAAACAGACAAAAAGAAGGGAAGGAATAGCCAGCATGGTGGCAATGGTAGAGCCTGTTGAAAGGGTCACTCACGGGGTATTCCCTCGATGGCTGTGTAAGGGGGACAGATCATACAGAGTATGCTCGTCCCTCAGGGGAATCCATGTACTCCAGCCAGTAGAACCACGTCTTTGAGTAACGCTCCTGCCTGCCCTGGGAGGATAGAACCATGTCCTCCATTACCCTAATCTCCTCCACCCGGCGCACCCACATAGAAATTGTAGGGGAGGAGGTGTTTCTACAGAGGCTCGGGATGCAGGATTTAGCCGAATCCAGCAAGTGGCTCAGCACCGATCGGGAGTAAGCTTTCCTGGACATTGGAATGTTGTGTAGCAGGAAGGTTGAGGGGTCAGATTCCATAAACTTCTTTGCAATGTCACGGACCGTAGACCACAATTGTGCTAAGGTACCACCCTCTGCGTTACATCTCCAGCAGATGTTTGCAACTCCACCATATATTTTGTGTAAGAGCGCCGGTGTGGGATACCATCTCATAAGGATCTTATAATTTGTCTCCTGATATTTAGTACAAATCGATGATAGTAGGGTAAAATTAATAATATTCTGACATTGGGCTTCTGAGAGGGTGTTCCCTAGGTCTCGTTCCCAGCGCGTTAGAAACGCAGGTTTTCCAAGATCAGTTGGCGTTGAAAGGGTAGTGTAGATCTCTGATAGTATGTCGCGTCGGTTCCCTAAAATCGCATAATCTCTCGAAAAGCGTACGTGTATTTCCAAAACATGCCGCTGGCGGTAAGGTAAGTAAGAAGTGTCTCAGTTGGTAAGCTTTACATTCATCTAAACCAAAGACTCCGTCGGCATCAGTAAAGGTTTGCATGGAGGGCCTCCGCTCAGGAAATGGGATGCTTGAAACAGGTTTTTGGCGAGCAAGAGTCGGAAAGGGCCAGACAAGTTACCTGGCGGAGAGGCCGGGTTACCTATAATTGGGTAAAGCGGGGAAGCCTCGGAGATCAGACGCCACCTGTTAAGTGCCTTTGAGCTTACTGCCAGAGTCGCACCGATCAGGGGGTGGGCCTTAAGCGAGGGGGGGAGAGCAGAGGGACACCATGCCATCCTAGCCAGGAGATAGGGCGATATGGATTCCTCCAAGGGCACCAATTGTTTGGTAGAGGAGTCTCTACACCAGTCAACTAAGCGAACCAAATGGCTAGCTATATAGTATTTCCGTAAATCAGGCAGGGCTATACCCCCCGAGTCTTTGGGTAAAGTCAGGAGGGAGTAGCTCAAGCGAGGGTGGCGGTTAGCCCAGACAAATTCCGTCAGTAATGAGGTAACCTGCCAAAAGTACCTATCCGGGATTGCTATGGGAAGTGCTTGAAAGAGATACAGAAATTTAGGCAAAATAGTAATTTTGATGGCGTTGCACCGCCCAAACCAGGAAAAGAAGCCCTTCTGCTAGTTGGAGAGGAGCATGCGTACCTGTGCTAGAAGAGGTGGGAAATTGTAAGTGAAGGTATCTTTCACGTCTGGAGGTATGAACCTGCCCAGGTATTTCAGCGCTCGGGTTGTCCACTGGAAATGAAAATTATTCTGCAGAGAGCGAGTGAGCGGAGGTGGGAGAGAGATTCCCATGGCAGTGGATTTGCTGAAGTTGATCTTCAGGTTGGACAGCTCTCCATATACCGCAAATTCCTCCATAAGATTAGGTAGTCAGAAAATAATTGCCGTCTGGAGACGGCAACCCGCAAATGCAGCAGTGCCGTCCGTCCGTTTTTTTACTACGGGCGGACGGCAAGAGGTTAAAGGGTTGGTCAGAGAGAACATCATGTCGTCCACATAGGCAGATACTTTGTACTCCTTTGATCCCATTTTAACCCCAGTCACGTCCACATTGGACCTAATATGGCCTAGGAATGGCTCCAGAGAGAGGGCGAATAGGAGTGGTGAAAGGGGGCAGCCCTGCCTGGTGCCATTCGTGATTGGAAAAGGGTCTGATAGAACGCCATTCACCTTGGCACATGCTGTTTGGATGGAGTACACCGCCGAAACCCAGGATAACATGTGTTTTTCCAAACCAATGTGCTTCAGAGTAGCAAACAGGAAGTCCCATGAGACCCGATCAAAGGCCTTTTCAGCATCGGTAGAAAGGAAGAGACAAGGCATGTCGCCGCATAATGGACAAGATGACAGGTCTGCCGTTGTTCACGTAGCGATCTAGCTAAAAGCTTCCCGCATTTATCACCAGACTCATAATATTTCCTCCTACAGCGCGTTAGGGCCATTTTCGCTTTATAAAAAGTCAGTGAGTTTATCTGTCTGCGTGTGGAGAGAATGTCTGCTAGTAGGGTAGGTGAGCCAGTCGATTTGTGCCGAAGCTCCAGGCTGTGTAGTGTGTGCAAGAGAGCCAGTAATTCTGCCTCCCTCCTACGTTTAACTCGCAAGCCATGTTTGATTAAAACCCCCCTTATAAAGACTTTATGTGCTTCCCAGAGGAGGACCGGGTCGCATTCCTCCACGTCATTGAGGTCGAAGTAGGAGTGCAACTGCTGGGCGACATCGGTCAGTATGAGCGGGTCTTGAAGGAGACTATCATTAAGGCGCCACTGCCACGAGGTACGTGAGGGGCAATCCGACAGGGCAATGTGCATGAAGACCAGGGGCATGATCGGACCATGTGATATTGCCAATGTCCGTGGTAATAATCAGCGCCAAGTGTTGGTGGGGAACAAAGAACATATCTATCCTAGAGTACGTGTCATGCGGTATAGAGTAAAAGGTAAAGTCTTTTACGGTCGGGTGTTGTAGACGCCAAGCGTCAACCAGCTGGGAGCGATGTAGAGATCTGAGGATGCGTCTATTAGCCGTCGGGGAAAGGGAAGACAATCCCGAAGAGGAGTCAAGGGACGGGTCCAGGGAGAGATTGAAATCGCCGCCCAGAATCAGGATCCCTTCAGTATAGGTCAGTAACCTATCTAGAATACCTTCCAGGAAGGTCCCCTGATTAGAGTTCGGGGCGTAGATGGCTGCAAACGTGACCACTTTGAGACCAATTTTGCCCTTCAAAAGCAAATACCGTCCCTCGGCATCTGTCTGACAGTCGTGAACGTCCAAGGTACCCGTCTAGAAAGCACTATAGAAACCCCTCTGGATTTGGAATACTCATTGCAAGAGAACGGGTAACGGAAATCTTTAAGCGAAGGAGCAGCTTCAGCTCTAAAGTGGGTCTCCTGTATGAAAGCCACATGGGATCCCCATCCCCCGAGGTCATGCAGCAGCGTTTTCCTTTTTTCAGGGGTATTAAGGCCCTTGGCGTTAATGGTGACCAGCTTCAACTCCTCCATGTCCCAACGATCGGAGGAAGTAGTAAGTGAATGGAGGACAGTAGTACAGGGCGACCCGGGGGGATGAGGAAGAGAGGCGGAGGGGAAGAGAGGAGAGAAGAAGAGAGAGGGGAGAGGTATGAGAAAGAAGAAAGGAAATAATATCAGCAGAACAGGGGGTTGTCTAGGGGAGGTCTAAACCTCAGTGGCAAAAACTCCAGACCGTGGGGTCCAGGGATTGCCTGGCCTAAGGGGGGGGAAAACGAATAGGCTTCGCAATGGGTCTCGGAGAGGTTAAGTCTCAACCAGGTTCACAGCTTCAGATGTGAGTAAATACAGGTAAATGATTGGCACCTGAGCAGTTTAAACATACAAAATATATACATGTCTGCCAGAGGATCATGTGCAGCCGGAGAAGGACGGTCTCCGCGCCCCTTGCACCGTCACCTATAACTTGGGCATTGCATTGAAAGGCTCGCAACATTTGTATAGAAACATGACCTGAGGGTAAGAGGCTCTAAGCCTCCAGGGAGATTCCCTACCCGGGGATCGCTCCAGTCCTCCCCGCAAACACCCCCGTACACTCGGGGTAGCAGCAAGGAGCCCGGATAGAGCCCCGGGGAGGTCCAGCCCAAACAAGTGAATACAAGAGGTAATCATGTAAATCTCTATCTCACATGCGTATCTGGAAGAGCTGCCCTAAAGCTAGAATAACAGCTCTCAAAGAAATGGGTATAAAAAATCCCTTTTTTCCATCCATCTTTCAACAGTTTCTCCTTCTTATATTTATTAGTGGGATCATTACATAATTGTTTATAGGTATCCTCATCTCCTAATTTTCGAGTCATTTCCCTCTCATAATAACATCTATCTAGAACTACAACTCCTCCCCCTTTATCTGCCGGTCTGATTATTATATCCTTCTTGCTCCGCAAACTTTTTATTCCACAGCTGATGTAATCCTTATCTTGTATATGCTGGAATTTCATTTCTCGTATCTCTGCTTCTACCAAGGATTTGAAAACTTCTATGTGATGATTCAAACTGTTTTGTGGATTGAAAACAGAATTATTCTTTAATGTTGTATGAACAAATATATCTGATATTTGTCCTCTGATCCCTGTTTTCTATATGTACACATTTTATGAGATGTACTAGCACATTTCGTTTTCTATGTTTATTATGGTTTATAGTGTCTAGACCATTAGACCTAGAGCTTTTTCTTACTATCATCAGCACAGGCATTGTGCAACACAGGTGTTGTGTATGCCACAAAATTGTTTATCAATTTGTGACAATTTCACATTTCATACTATTTTTCTCACATTTTAGGACTATTTTTTGAGTTTGAAGCACAGTGCTATTTTGACTACCCGCTTTGGCATCTGACCCCTGGCTTGGCACTGACTACGTCCTGGACTTTCTCCATTGTTGTTTTCAATAAACGCCTTTGAAACTTAAAGTGCAGGTTTAAAGTATCAGTCTGGTTTCTTGGTTCCCTAACGCAAATGTACTAAGATCACCCCAATTAGGGGAAGATCTTCTCACTATCCTAGGACAAGCTCTTTGCTCATGAAGTCCTAGTCCCTGCACTGAAGGCAGAAAATGTCTGTGCATAGCAGTGCCTGGATCACAAGACTATCTGAAATTACTTGCAAGTATTTTGGGGGGTAAAATGGATAACATATGTATTTCAAGTGTGATTTTATTTTATTACTGGTATTTATATAGTGGCAACAATTTACACAGCTCTTTACATCAGTCCCTGCCCCCAAGGAGCTTACAATCCAAGGTCCCTATTGAGAATGTGAGCATGGACACAGGGCCAAATTAGACAGGAGCCAATTAACCTACCAGCATGTCTTTGGAGTATGGGAGCAAACCGGAGCACCCGGAGGAAACCTACGCAAGCACAGGGAGAACATTCAAACGTCTTGCAGATAGTGCCCTGACCGGGATTTCAACTTTACATTATTCTGAACCTGTTTGTTTATGCCTGACTACATGGTATCCCTCCTGAATTATTGCTCATTTGTTCCTTACTTTTCTGCAAGGTAACACCTAGAATCTGAACATTGCGTTTCATCCTACAGTGTTGTATATCTGTTTACACTTTGTTTTTCTGCTTTCTTTTTTCCAGGTACAATTATGTCATGCTGGTCCTTTCCCTTAGTTTTCTCTGCCTATCCTACTATATGACGCATTGGTTAGGCAGTGTGGGATTTATCCTTGCAAACTGTTTCAATATGGGCTTACGGATCACTCACAGCTTACTGTACATTAGAAAATATTTCAGGAAGAGCCCCTACAAGCCCCTGTCTGGGCTATGTCCATCCGCTGCTGTCATTTGTGCACTTTGTCTCTGTGCTGCAGTAACCGGGTATTCAGAGGTAACCTATGTTCACTTTTTGCATTAATTTTTTCCTCTTCATTTTTAAATTGATGTAAAAATAAGGAAACAATAATAGAATGGCAATGCATACAAGAACCAGTCAGCATAAAATTTTAACTGGCATACGGTTATTAAATGGTGCTTGTAGAATTAATATTATCAACATTTTAATTCCCCGCTGTACTCAAAATTTGTGTCCTCGTTGACAGGAAGTGAGGGCAAATCTCCCTCCATGAGGACACAGCAATACCTGACCTGGCGCTCTTACCCTTCCCTGCTCTAATAAAAACAAAATAAACATTACTGGAGTTGGGATTTAACTTTTTTTTTCTGATTGCTGCTAATTATATTCATATTATTTATTGATACTCTGCAGGTCTAGAAGATTAAGGTGTATATATTAATAATGATGTTAAAATATACAATCTGTTACATATTGGATTCCCCAACTTCGATATTAAGCTTTTATTGTGTCATGAAGGTTACACTGTATTTCCTAGTGCTAGCTCCACCTTTTAATTTTTAATTTTTTTAAAATTCAGGTTTGTGCTTTTTTTTTACTGACATATTTGGTGTGGTAAGAAGACTGGTTCACACTTTTGTGTTTCACAATGCATGCATTTTTTTCAAAGGGAGGTTACCTCCTGTATTTAAAATGAATGTAGAAAACATTTTACATGTGTCTTTTATTAATTTTAGCAGTAGTAGTTCCTTTAGGTTTCTATGGCAAATATTTTTTTTTTCAAAATGCTGCTTATGCAGGACTCCTAGAAAATCAAATGAATGAAAAGGCAGAGATTAGAACAGTGCCCCTGACTATAAAGCACAGAAATCATGTAGTTTTTCTTCACTTTCACATGCACCCAATTGCAGCAAGATTGCACACATGTGGACAGGACCAAAAATACTGTCAGCCTTTTTTCTGTTAGCCTTTACTGTTACTGGTTCTAGAAGTAAATTTCCCTGGCACCTTAACGTAAGAAACAAAGAGACTGATGCTGTGAACCCAAAGAGACTGATGCTGTGAATTTTCAGAAGAAAATGCTAGGTGCTTGGCCATTATACTGACTCTTATGCTTCAATATTTTCAGTTACAAGCCCTAAACTGGCATGTTGAAAACGATTTCTGACCTTCAAACTTGTTCTAGATAAATGACTTGCAATCCATTGCAGGCATAGGGTCAAGATAACATTATGATATAAGATCATATCAATAGGTTGGATTGACTGTGATGAAGTAGGATTATATTAGTAGAATATTCTTTTAGTCCTTGCTTCCATTGATTTAACTCTTCTTTTCTTTGACAGATGAATCTGTGTTGTGACATGGGCTGGCCTTACCTACTTTCACACATTCTTGTTGGAACTCTCTGCCTGGCTGTGGCACTGGCTGCTCTTGTCCTTTCAGAAAGCAAACTGATTAATTTCATACATAACCATTTTCTGTCAAAAAAGCCAAAGAAGAAAGTGTAGCGAAGGTTCAGGACTGGATGGCTGGTTATCTGGAAATAAGTGTAAACCTCAAGACGTTATTCCCTCTTTGTGATCACTTTGTACTGTATCCATAATAACACCAAGAATGTGAAGGGAAGAGACATGAGGCTAAATACATTATAATGGACCAATGCAGAGCACATAGGGCATGTTTTTGTAAACCCCCAAAAAATCGTAAAGTATTTATTTTCTTTTTTAACTCGTATGTACTGTATCTTCCTCATGGACCGATATCTATTCACGTTTGCGGCTTCATCAGAAAACCATGTTTGGTACCTGTAAACACTCACCTTTGGAAACTCAGCCTCTGTGCAACCTCTGTTATAACATGTCCTATTGACAAGACCACGATCTAGGCACCGTGTATTGTATTGTCTTTTGTGATGAAACCAATAAAAATTTATATGGAAAAAAAAAAATTTGAAGGACTACAGAAAACGTCTAATGCTGGGCGGGATCTTTTCCTCATGTCCCCTGTAGTAGGTCACCCTAAATGTATCCCTGGGAAAGAATACAAACAATTCTCTTGCTTCCTCATGCAAAATAAATTCAGAATGAATGAATTTGTTTCAGACGGTAAATAAAAAAATGCCTCGACTTTTTTCGAGAAAAAGATATGAGGTCACTCATTCTTCATTTACATAATACGGCTAAATTATGCATACCAACCCTTTGGAAACAGCCCACTACCCCATCTATAGCACTGTGGTACTCTAAGATAACAGAAATAGAACGCATGGGAAGCCTAACAGCTTGTTTATATAATCGTGAAGAACAACTCAAACTGACATGTTAGAGGTTCAATAGCTAGTGCAAAAAGGGCCGGGGATAGGGGGCATCCTTGACGCGTACCTCGGGCGATAGGGAATACTGATGACGTACACCCCAGATATTTCACCTGAGCCATAGGATTGGAATAAAGGTTTCGCGACCATGGCAATATATGCCAGGAGCAAGGATGAATGCAATGCCAGGTTATTTTTAAGTGAGTTACATAAAGCCGTCAATCTGGGGGACAGAATGGGGGCGAGCTTTATAATAGAGGGCCGAAAAGCCATCCGGACCCGGTGCTTTGGAGGGTTTCAGTTGTTTAATTGCGGTAAGTACTTCCTCTTCTTGAACATCAGAATTCAAGAGTTCTAAATCGTCTCGAGAAATCTGAGGTAGGGTGATATTAGCAAAAAGTTCCTCAGCAGTGGAGTTCTGGGAGGTTTGTTGGCTAGCATAGAGGGCTTTCAAGTTATCCATAAAGAGATCCAAGATCTTAACTGGGTTGGCCGTCACATTACCCTGGGAGTTTCGCAGGCGGATTGGGGCTGCATGGGAAGGTAGCGTATTTAGTTTCCTCGCCAACAAGGAACCAGGTTTGTTAGCTCTGGAATAGAACTTGTGTTTGGACCACCGCAGTTGTTTCTCCCACTGCTGGTCCAGCATCAAGTTTAACTCGGTTCTCACAGAGGACAGCTGAGCATATGTTTTACGGTCATATTTATTTTTCAGGGTGCAGTCAAGGCGCCCCAGGCTCTCCTGTAGGGCATCAATTTTTCGCATCCGTTCACGCTTTCTGCGAGTAGCTAGCTCGATCAGATGTCCTCTCATGGTAACCTTATGAGCTTCCCATAAACTCACAGGGGAGTCGACTGAACCCTCGTTAATTTCAAAGTATTGACGAGCACAGCTCTCAATGTGCGGCAAATTGTCAGTAGTCGAGAGGAGGGAGTCATTGATACGCCAGTGGCTTTGTCTAGGTCTACTGCCTTCCAGGTCAAATTGTATTAAGTTGGGGGCGTGATCCGACCAAGGGGTAGCCTTAATGGTCGCTTTAGAGAAAGAAGGTAGATATTGTTGATTAGTAAAGATATGATTTCTTATTTCCCTAGTAAGGGTGGCAGACAGCTTGCTATTAGCAGCATTAAGCTCTGTTTGTAACATAGAGCGGAATCTGTCCAGTAATGCTGAGTCCCGGGGGTTAACAGAGGAATCCCCTTGCTGTATAGGGAGACTATCCATAGAGGAGGAATCAAATACCTCAGGAGAGTGTGTTGGAGAGCTCTGATCTTCTGCAGCTCCACGTGCGGCCGCCATCTTGGATCCGCGGGGTGTCTGTGAGGGAGTCTGCCGCTGCTCCTTCTTCTGTTTTCCACTCATCACGGCCGGTTTTTGCCCTGGTAGCTGGCGAGGTCACCCTCTCTCAGATCGGCAGGTTAGTAGTGCTGGCGGTGGCTTATGATTGCTCTGTAGGGGTCCGGCGGTGCAGAGCTCCGTTAGCCTGCGGCCATCTCATTCGGCAGCTCAACAGACATGGTTTTATTGGCATGATTACATCCTCACTCAGGTTCTTGCAGAAGCTTATCATATTCCTATCACCTGAGGATTCTATGTCAAAAAGGGAGAGGGTTGCTGATCTGCCCCCTATGGCTGGCATTCCCTCTTTGGTATATCTCTATCTACTATTCTATTTCTAATTCTCATGTTTCTTCTCTTTGATTAATTCTTTCCTGATTCTCATACTTCTCTTACTTGGAAGATATGGGGAAGGGACAGAGGGAGGGGAGAGAAGAAGGAAAGAGAAATAAATAAAATAAATGTATGTGTGTGAATGTGTTTGTATGTGTGTATGTCCAGGTTTTTTTTGGTAAAATTAGGTACCTCGGCTTATATTCGGGACGGCTTATACTCGAGTATATACGGTACATGTTCTCATATAGTCTCAATAACTGTCAGGATACCGTGCACGGGTGTCCCCACATTGCACACAGATAATGCTTGTGAACTTATAGTTTAATAGACATACCAAAATCATATAAACATAAGCAACCCCACCAACACCCACCAGTAACATAAAATAACCAAACTAACTACAAATAGCAAAATCACAGACAGACAATTACAGGGCTAGTGAACCTAGGGAGCTACAGATCAGGAGACCTCAGGGGAAGGAGTCAGGGATCTGGCAACAGGGTTCAGGCATGGCGACAATACTGAGGCACCAGCCTGTAACGATCCCCTGCTCGCTCGGTTCCACTCTCCCGGCACTCCTCAGATTTCAGACTGCAGCCTCTGATATTTCGGTCGTCTGATAATTCGGGATTCGAACTACAGCTATATCCCGTTTGTATCCAATGGTGAAAGCTCAGAACAAACACCAGGCCGGCTGTATGTAAGTTCAAACAGGAATCTCCTTTATTGGATGCACACACACACACTTTTATAAACAACAGTTTGAAGGTGGCCCAACCAACCACCTTCCTATTGGTCAATTGTAAAGTCCGCTCTAGTCCTCACTTAGGTCCTCTTGGCCATGCAAATGAGGACTTGAAACAGGGTAAACAGGGATTGGTCTGATAGCTTGAATGGGAGGGCTGATATGTGTACCATTGTCATTAACATTGGGTTTCCAGAGCCGGTATTGAATTGTGAAATTGGACGGCTGTAGGGCCAGGCTCCCCCGCAACAGCCGCCCATGGGCCCCGGACGCCCAGTTCAACCCACAAGGGGGGTCTCTATAGTCCTAGGTCCATAGTCTCTAGGAAGGAGGCTAGCCCTCAGGCTCCTCCAGTAGCCCCAGTGACGGTTCAGTCCGTCATATTTCTCCCCTCCCAACAGTAGACTAACCAGATACCAGACCCCCAACTGGTCTGGACCTGTGTTAGTCGGACAAGACAAATTCACATGTCCGGCATCTGATTTCCTGAAAACAAACTGCCGCTGGGGGGTGTTGAGGGCCCCTACATCTCCCTGCACCATGGCCTGCCGCTGGGGAGTGGGAATGGCTGCCTCCCCTCCCTGGGGCAAAGACTGCCACTGGGAACAAGTATCCGCTGCACCATTTTGCAGATGCTCCATCTGCTGCTGGGGAGAAAGGTTGGCTGCCTCCTCTCCCTGGAACTCCCTCTGCCGCTGGGGAGAGAGGCCGTCTGCCTCCTCTCCCTGGAATTCCATCTGCTGCTGGGGAGAGAGGCCGTCTGCCTCCTCTCCCTGGAACTCCCTCTGCCGCTGGGGAGAGAGGTCGGCTACCTCTTCTCCCTGGAGCTCACAATGCTGCTGGGAAGAGAGGCCGTCTGCCTCCTCTCCCTGGAACTCCATTTGCCGCTGGGGAGAGAGGTCAGCGGCCTTCTCTCCCTGGAACCCTGTTGCCAGCTTTTCAGCTGGGTGTGGATGGGACAGCGGTTCCTCTGCATTCAAATCTATAAGGCCTCCCACGTCTGAAGCTGGTGACGAAGAAATGGGGTTGGCCGCCATCTCTGGCAGGAGCTTCAGGGGGCTATGGGCAGGGCCGGCCTTAGGGGTGTGGGAGCCGTGCGGCCGCACAGGGTGCCATTGTAACAAGGGCGCCATAAGTAGTCCGGGTTCTGTGTTCTGTTTTCTATTTTTATTTTTCTAGATATTCTGACTTGAAAAAAGGATCGGCATGACAAACTAACACTTTATTTTTATAGACTCTATTGTATTTTGACATTTATTGTTTTCCTTCTGTTGTTTTATTTGATAAGAATACTTCTATTGTGCCTACAAGTTTAATACCTTTGAATAAAAGTTTTATTTTTATCATACTTATTAATGTTTCTTTGCGGCTTAACAAAATAGGAGTCTTTAAATGGTGCGGATATTGGGGGAAATGGGTGTGGTTACTGGGGGTGTGGCCGCTAAAGGGTGTGGCCATGGAGGGGTGTGGTCACTGAGGGGCGCTGTAAAGCTTTCTTGCACAGGGCGCCTAAAGGCCTAAGGCCGGCCCTGGCTATGGGTGCGGGGCAGAGGATAGTAGCACTCTGCCCTGTTGCCAGCTCTTCTGCTGGGATTAGTAGTTCCATCTGCTGCTGGGGAGAGAGGTCGGCTACCTCCTCTCCCTGGATCTCTATCTTAAATACTGTAGTTTGAACGCCCGAAAGGGCGACTTACGGAAAGGCGCTGTATCTCTAGGTGTTGTTTCTGAATGCTGTCGTTGCGCCATTCTCCACTCATGTTGCCGTTCTAGTGCTCTCGCTTGTCGCTCATCCTGCAGCTGGATGCCTCTAATGACATTCTGTATGGCGGTCTCTGATGGG